TGAGAGAAGAGAGAGAGAGTGTGTAATGAGAGAGAGAGAGTGTGTTAACAATTAGAGCACTAGTAAGACGAGAACACACAAGCACGCTAGCTCAACATATGAAGAGAGACGCACGAACACAGAAGAAAAAACATGACAGTTAATCGACTTGTACACAAGAGCACGAGAAAGATGAAGCAAGAAGAGTAAGAAGAGACAATAGTAATATGATTTGATATATAATAGAGAGGTATAATAGATGTATGTAGTATATAATGAGATGACGAGAGAGTGTTAGTTAACTTCTTGAGAGTAAGTAATAGAGAGTGATGTATAATGTCAGTAAGCGGTAAGAGAAGTGTAATTATGATGAGAGAGAGAGAGGTGGGTAATATAGATGAGTATATATAGAGTAAGTAAGAGAGAGAGTGATTTAGTATATATGAGAGAGTAGGTAATAGGTATACATATTATAGTTATATATATAAGAAGTAGTAGATGTATAGTGTAATATGAGGAAGGGAGCGAGAGAGAGAAGTGTTAGGGTAATAGTAGAGAGTACAGGATATGATTATGATTGATTTAGAATATGAGTATACGTGTAAGGATGAAAAGAGTGTTAGGTATGAGAGAGTACGGGAGAGTTTATATGTGAAGAGAGAGATAGTAAGTATTAGGTTATAATATTAGAAGAGAGAGAAGGAGTTAGTAATGAGAAGAAGAGAGAGAGTGAGTCAATATATTATGATAGATAGATATAAAGATAGGGAGATAGTAGTAATATGATGTAGTATTATATATAACATATATATATATATATAGAGAGAGAAGAGGTTGATATATTATGAATGGTATAATGTAGGTTTGTGTTGTGATGTGGATAGTGGTTTGTGGTGTTGTGGTATGAGAGATGTCATGCATGGTGGTGAGTGTGGTGTGTTTGTGTGTAGTTATGTGTGGTGTGGTATGGTATGTGTGTGTGATGGTAAGAGCGATTAGTTTTTTTAGTTTACGTTATGAGACTGAGTAGAAGTGTAAATGAGAGATATGAGTAGAGAATGGAAGTGTAATCATGACAGGAGAGAGAGTGTAATGAGAGAGAGAGAGAGTGTAAGAGAAAGCACGCAAACGAGAGCAGAGCTCGATAAAATGCAGAGACAGCCAGAGACTCATAGGACTAGGACAGCATGAAAGACGAGACGACTAACGTAATACGTAACACTCGAGACGAGAGGGAGAGTGGTGGTAAGTGAGAAGAGAGAGAGAGTGTAATGAGAAGAGAGAGCAGATCGACTAATGAGCTAACAAGCACGGCGAACAGAGACGTAAACGAGCACACATCAGTAATGAGAGAGAGCGAGTGGGTGTATGACGAGAGAGTAGAGTGTGTAAGAAGAGAGAGAGGAGTGTACATCAGAATTGAGACCCGGGGAGAGAAAAGTAGTAGAAAAATGAGACAGCGAGAAGAGTGTGTACATCGTATGAGAGAGAGAGTAGTGTGATGAGAGGAGAGAGAAAGAGTGTAATGAGAGAGAAGACGAAGCGTTGTAATGAGCAAGAGAAGAGAGAGTGTAAAAAAATGAGAAGAAGAGCAAGAGAAGAATAGTAATGAGAGAGAGAGAGTTAATGAGTAGAGAACGCAAGAGAAGAGTGTAAGATAAGAGGAGGAAGAGACCAGATGATACCATGAGCAGAGAGAGGAAGTGGAAAGTACATGAGAGAGAGAGCGAGTGTACCTAGAGAGAGAGAAGAGAGTGTAATGAGATGAGAGAGAGTGTAATGAGAGAGGAGGAGTGGTATGCAAGAAGCAGAGCACACAGAAGAGTGTAATGAGAGAGGGGAGAGGAGGTGTAATGAGCACACAAAGAAGAGAGAGAGTTGTACATGAGAGACAAAGAAGAGCACACAAGACAAGACTGTAAAATAACGAGACAGAGCATGGAAACCGAGCAAGTGTAAACACCTCGAGAGAGAAGGAGAGAAGCTGTAATGAGAGCGAGAGAGAGTGTAATGGGAGGAGAGAGTGTAAGGAAGAAGGAGAGAGTGTAATGAGAGAAGAGAGAGTTGAAATGAGAGAGCGAGGAGAGCTCGCTAATGAGAAAACCCAAAGGAGAGAGAGAGAGAGAGAGTGTAATGAGAGAGAGAGAGAGAGAGAGAGAGAGTGTACATCGAAGCACCAAGAGAGAAGTGTGGTAAGAGAAGAGAGATAGAGACGGACGAAGAGAGAGCTAGTAGTTGCGAGCAGGAGGGAGAGAGGGAGAGCGAGTGTACATCACGGAGAGAGACGAGAGAACGAACACGAGGAGGAAGGTGTAATAGAGAGAGAACAACGAACACAAGAAGAGAGAGACGACAGGTGTACAATGCGAGAGAGAGAGAGTAGAGAGAGAACAGAGTGTAATGAGAGAGAGAGAGAGAGAGAGAGAGAGAGTGTAATGAGAGAGAGAGAGAGAGACGACACACAGCAGACGAATAGAAGACGCAACGTAAGCTGTAAAAAATAGAGAGACAGCGCGAGCATGAGAACGAACGAGAGCACGCAGAGAGAGACAAGCAGAGAGGAGGGCAGCAGCACAAGAGAGAAGAGAGAGAGAGCAGAGAGAAGAGTGATGAAGACGTGTAGAATGAGAAGAGCCGAATAGATCGGTAATCAGACGATAAGAGACAGCAAGAGTGACACGAGGGAGTAGTCATACTGAACACGGAGAGAGAGGTGGTGAATGAGAGAGAGGAGAGAGAGTGGTATGAGGAGAGAGAGCGAGAGAGTGTAAATAGAAACGAGAGCAGAAGAGAGGAGTGTTTAATGAAGAGACAGCAGAGAAGAGAGCAGATGTTACATTAACACATGAGCAAGAAGGAGAGGAGAGAGAGTAGGTATTACGAGAGAGAGAGAGAGAGGTGTATGAGAAGAGAGAGAGAGAGAGTGTCATGAGAGAGGAGAAGACGAGAGAGTGTAATGAGAGAGAAGCGAGAGAGAGTGTAATGAGAGACAGAGAGAGAGAGAGTGTAATCAAAGAGACAACAGGATTTGTAAACGAGCAGAGAGCCAGAAGCACACACACACTTATCGATAAATGAGAGAGAAGAGCGAGAGAGTGTATGAGAGAGAGAGAGAGACACTGTCGGTCAATCGGACGCAAGAGAGAAGAACGAGAATGAGCTGTATGTAACCGCACAGAAGAGAGAGAAGAGTGTAATGAAGAAGAGAGAAGAGAGAGAGAGTGTAATGAGAGACGAGAGACGAGAGGAGAGTGTCAATACGAAGCAGACGACAGAGAGAGAGGAAGAGTGGTAGGTAAATAAGGCCAGACGAGAGAAGAGAGCTAGTAGTAATAGAGAGAACAGAGACACGCCGAGCAGCACGTCGGGTATGATATGGAGAAGCAGAGAGAGAGAGCGTGCTATGAGGAGAGAGAAGAGAGGAGAGTGTAATGAGAGCAGAGAATGAAGAGAGAGTGTAATGAGAGCACAGAATTAAGATGTACAGAAGATGAGAGAGCTAGTATGAGAGAGAGGAGAGAGGAGCGAGTAAATGAGCTGAAGAGCAGCAGAGACGCAGTGGTAATGAGAGGCATAGAGGAGGAGAATGAGTGTAATGAGCGGAGAGAGAGAGAAGCTGATATGAGAGAGAGGAGCAAAAGAGAAGAAGTGTAATAGAGAGAGAGAGAAGTAGAGCATGGTGTAATGAGAGAGAGAGAGAGAAGAGTCGGGTAACTCAGAGCAGAGAGGAGAGAAGGGGAGAGTCGTAATGAAAAGAGAGAGGAGAGAGAGTGCACAGTAAATGAGACAGATGAGAGAGGAGAGAGTGTTAATGAGAGAGCGAAGAGCAGCCAGAGCAGAAGTGTAATGAGAGAGAGAGCGAGAGAGTGTAATGGATGAGAGATGAAAGGAGAGAGTGTAATGCAGAGAGAGAGAGAGAAAGTGTACATGAAGAGGGAGCGTGAGGGAGCAGGGTAATGAGAGCAGCAAGAGAGGGAGAGAGTGTAATGAGAGAGAAGAGGAAGAGAGAGAGTGTAATGAGAGAGGAGA